TGTACATGACGTGTAACAACAATATTTTTTTTCAACATGGTATATAACATCATGTGTACGACGTATAACATTATATGCACTTGGTAAAAAGAGATTTAATGCATGACATGTAATATGTTTTTATATATTACGTGTATCATCTTGGATATGACATACAACATCATATGTACTTAATAGAAAAACGTTTTATTGAGAGTAATTTTGTTTAATTTAATTAAAAATATATAAAATTATAAAAAAAAACTATTTTTGAAACCCTCTTATCTTTGAATATTATTTTTTAAAATGCCTTATTATACTGGAAACTCAAGGGAAGATGAAATCAAGCTAGCTTTATCTGAGAGATAGAAACTGTAACCAAGAGGGACGGTTTAGTTTGATTAGGATCAATCTCCAGCCAAACTAAAGTTATGAATAAAATTGGTTCGAACTTCGAACTCGGATGGATACTAGACATGCGTGCAAAGTTCTTTTGTGTTCCTAAATCCTAATTGCTATTGGACATTGGCATTCGAAATGAGGGAATACTAGCCTTTGTTTTTTTTTTTTTTTGCTTGATTTCTTTTCATCTGTCCAACTTTCTTTTCACGTTTCTGTACTGATTTCGCCGTGCCTTTGACATTTATATATTTTTAAGCATACGCTGTCATTGTGTCATGAAATTCTATCTCGAATACTTAAAAAAAATTTTAAATTTATAAAAATAAATATCTTATATCCTATCAAATTAATTTTTAAATAAGAATATAATAAAATAATATCATAATAAATTTAAACTCAATTTCAATGTTACATCAAACACTTCAAAAAGTAAAATCGATGAAGTGACTCGATCTGTGATGAAAGTATCGTAAATTCATATAAAAGAAAATATTATGGATCTCATATAAACTAAATAAATAAAAAATTTTAAATTTATAACTATAAGCATTACACATTTGATTGATATAAAGATTGATAGGTCCATTACAGACAGACCAACATCAGCTCTTATCTCCATCTCTCCTCCTCTTCCTACCAATCCTCTCTCAGCCACATTTCCTCTCCTTTCCCTCTTCTCCATTCCTTCTTCCTCATTCTGCATTTTTTTGTTTTTAGGCGAAAGTACCCTTGACAAATGACGAAATTCTTCCCTTATTCTCTTGGACAGCTTGTGAACAGCCTTGTAGCTCACTTTATATTATTGATAGATGAGGAATTTGGACTTGTTATGTTTTTTTTTTCTTTTTTTGATCAACTTGGGTTTTAAAACATGAGTGACCTAAATTTAGTACGGACCAGGACCACTGACCCTCAAATTCCAGTTCACGATCCCTTAAAAAGGGGAAATGTCCTCATTCTACACTAACTTGTTCTTTCTTCTAAGCACAGGCTGGGGGAATTAAAGGCTTCTTAAAGCTTTAAATTTTGTTTGCATAAGATCATGACTTGGACACAAATCTAACACTTTCTGTTCACTCATGGTATTTTTTTTTGTCCTACGAATTCATCATATGGTTGGACCTTTCAAGAATCTCTTGAAAATGTGTGGAATAAATTTTTATAATTTTGTTTTATAAAATTATATTTACGGATAAAAATTACTATAATTATAATTAAATTCTCAACATGTGTTTACTAATTAGTCTTATATATGTTTATCATCCATACTTGAAGCACCATCAACGTATGAATAAATAGGTTTACAGAGTGATTAAAATGGGAATTCAACACCATATATAGTGCTTAAAGTAATAGTCATAACCCGTTGATCTGCACTTCTATAAGCAGATTGGCAAAATCAATATAGACTTTGATTATCAACAGTTCTTACCTGTTGACATATTGGAAAGTACTTCGCTAAGTTGACTAGGAGAAGAACCAAAACAAAAATTAACTAAATGTTGATGACATGATAGTGGACTTGGGTCGGTTTTGATACCATTTGATAACATTAATTATGCGTCTATATGTATTTATATAAACATTATTAGTTTTCAAACATTAGTTTAAATTACTTTTAACATTATTTTGAGGAATGTGGACTGTCTAATCACAATCGTGGGACTCTGAATTGTGTCTTAAAAGTAAAGTCAAAGAGCAAAATATATAAGATTGTACTGTGCCACTCATATCTTGGATAAAATCCCCTCGTTTCAAGCGGCTAATTAGCTTACCCAACTCTTTCTGGATTAATTATTAGTTCTCATTCTCCTATACATTCCCAGCAAGCAGCTCTCTCATTAATAGAAGGTAGAGTGGATAAAACTACTACTACATAAAGGCTTCGGCATTCAGTGTTAGGATATGCTCCAAGCTCTCTCATTTCATTTGCACCTTCAAGCTAGTATCATTTGTCAGCTGATTAAGTTATTCACTATTCAAATCCTTCCTCAGGCATCTGGCCATCTATCTAGGTTGTATGAAGACAAAAGAACAACGTTTACGAGAATTGTTAAGTGAATGTTGCACCGTAAAGTCCACTCTAAGGCGTAGACCTAACAATTTTCTTGTTCTTTTGTGGTTTAATTTGTTGGAAAATTTTAAAAGTAAGCAAGATTAGTTGACTAATATTCCATGACAATCGATCGACCAATATTTAATGAAAATCGACTAATGTGAAACAAGGGTCAAAACTGAAAACTTTAGGCATGTTGAATTAATTAATATTCTACGTTAATCGACAAAAGCTAGATTTAAAAAGTTTACTTTTTAAATGAGTTAATTGATTAATTTTGAAAATTTTGTGCTCTACAAAAAGTATTTAATAATTTGATTTATTACTGCAAGACACAATCAAATAAAATTTAATTATATTTTAAAACTATTGAATTAAACTTGTTGCACACCATAAATAGTGAGAGCAAAATAAATAACAAGAAGAGTACTGATACGTTGCAGCATGCTCGAAACTAATTTTATTGATTTTTTTTACTTTCCGTACACACACACTTAACAACATAATTATTAGACAATTATTGTACCTGGAAATCATTTAAGTATCAAGTTGTATGCTGCACATGTTGGATTTATAATCTGACATGACCTAATCCTACCACAAGAGAATGAAACAATCATATCACTAGTAGTAGGTACATATATAAAAGTGAGTGGACCTGAATCGATATTGAGAAAATCTTTGGGAAACTATATTAATATATAAAGGACAGTTTTAAATTAAACAAAATTTCATTCTTCCTATCCAGAAAACTTTTGCAACTTGATATCAGAACAATCAACCAGGGGAGCAGAATTGAACCGGAAAGAGTGCTTAAAATAAGTGCACAAACCCAACATGAGCTCAGTGCTGTCATATTCAACCCCCTTTGTGCATAAGCCGTAAGCGTACATATACATATTGATGAAGGTGTACGGGTATTACCAATCCAAAGAAGTTCACATTAATCCGGGAGAATATCCCATGCTCTCAATTAAACAAATTTGTGTTAAGCATTCTATTTTTTTTTGTTTCAGAAAATGGAAATAAGAGCAGCAGAGGAGGTCAGGAGTCCTGGTTAATCCTCCTTCAAGAATGTGAGAAGGCTACAAACAGAAGAGACTGCCAGGAATGGGAGTTCTTCTAAATTTTCATTGTCATATATATCACTGCAAATTCTTAATAACTGAAGCATTAGTTATTGAAAAGGTAGAATCTGATATAGGAATTCCATTCAATCAACATTGATCAGATACGTTACAACAATTCGGCACTTATTCCATTTGACATATTTTGCTAACACAACCAGTTTCTGGTGACAAAATTTGATTTCTGTCATCAGAGAATACTAGCTACTTTGTGCCGTGAACGATATCCAGCTCTATGGAATATCTCTACTACTGATAATTAGCTTATCAGTGATGTTTCGGATCTGGTCCTCCAGGACTCAGACGTTTCGACGCATACAGGTTCTTCGTGTATTCATCAATGAGGGGTATGCTAAACTGATGCACTTTCCCTGAACTAGTAGTAATGGACAATGCTCCAACAGAACTAGTTGTGTTCTTTCCCTCGACGTATAGATTGACAACACGGCTTTCAGACGTTGGTGCTGCGTGCAATATAATCAGTATCAAGCATGCACAAAAACGCAAGCTAGCCATATGTGGTCTTTGTCTTGTACAGGTCCAAGCTTGGAAGAGGTGGTGTATATATAGGCTAGAGAAGCCATTCAAATTGGTTAAAAGGACCTCCAAATTAAAAACATGATAGTGGTTTTCATGAAATCCATGATGCCTGATTCATACTCGCAGATTGCTGCAAATATGTGTGGTGCATATAAATCTTCAGCATGGGCGTGTACGTTTCAATTTGTCTTTGATTACCCTGTGGACGAATCTCTCTAGGTTTTTAGGCTAGGTAGCTTTCTCCAACTTTGCTTCCTCCTTATCCAATTGCAAATATTTAAGAGTCATGAGCTTCACGTCTGAGTAACTTTGGGACCGATCCACTACTTCAAAGTGGTGTGCCGACAAAATTATATTGGCCTTGCTCGCCTCTTAAGTGCACTAACCATGCTCATAATTCATAGGCCAAGAAAATCATAGTAAAACTAAGTCAACTCATGTCGGTCAAGTTTGTTCCATTTTACATGGATCTTATTCTGAGATTCCATAGTATTGCTTTGATCAAATTACATCGTGACACTATGTATAGATTCACTCTATATGTTCTCAATGATAGGAAAGAGTGAAAGCTCTAACGACCATGAAAATATGCTTGTACGTTCCTTCTTTTCATTTCTGTCCTTCACATGGGCTAAACCATAGGCTTCCCACCAATAAATTAGCATTAATTGGAGTCTATTTTCTGATTGTGGGAACAATTGATAGGAAAGAAGCAGAGTAGTAGTATTTTTAGGCTTCTGAAGCCAACTTCATTGATTTGTATCAGATCCCAAACTTTCTATTCATCCAACTGTTTGAGCCATCGATACTTTAGATGTTCAGACATAAGACAAATGTGAGTAATGCATAATTCAGGTTTACAAACACCCACATTTCAGCTTTCCTTGGTGCATAAATATATTTTCCAGACCAAAAATATAATGTAAGCATTCTGACTCTCCAGGAAATCTAATGAGAGGGGCAGAGGAAGTTCACCGTCCAAGTCAAGTATTCTCTCTAGAGAGTGAAAAGTCCACTAAACAGAAGAGATCGGCCAAGAGTATTCTTCAGAAGATAATACACAAAATGCAAACTAAAGATAATACACAAAATGTATTCAAATAACATGGATCAGATGCATTGCATTATTTGACAGTTGAAAATTTTGTTATTGCATCCAACATACTTTGTGAGGACAACCATTTCTGATGACAATTTTATTTCATCCATCAGAAGATACTATGGCTGCTTTGTGCCATGATGCCGATAACTAGATCTAGCTCTGACGAAAATTCAGTTATGTTTCGGATCAGGACCTCCTGGACTTGTACGTTTTGACTCGTCGGGGTTTTCGTTGTTGTCCTCATCTCTGACCTCTAGCTTAACCTGATACACCGTCCCTGAACTAGTAGCGAGGGACAACATTCGAAAAGACCTGGTAGGACTTCTTCCCTCAATGTTTGGATTAAGAAGGCGACACTCAAACCTTGAAACTAAGTACAATATCAGTAGCAGCAATGCAAGAAATCGCCAACTACCCATTTTCTTTGTAGGGGTTTCTGAAATGCAGTCTTATTTTACGGGGTTCAAGCTTGAATTTGCAGTATTTGTAGGCCACGGAAACGTTGCTTTCCATTGTACCAATCAAAGATAGTGAAAAGACCTTAAAAAAAAAGCATGAAATGATTATCATAAAAAGCAATTGACCCGTGATTCATACTCGCGGATTGATGAATAAAATGCCTATGATACATGTAATTTTCAGCAATGGAGGACTCTGATTACTGTTAAACTAGACTTTCTTTTGGGCATTTAAGAAAGCTTACTAGCCCTCCTCAAATTCAACTTTTCCTCATTATCCACTTGAGGATGGAAGAGTCGCGACTTCTCGAATTCTTGTAAAGACTAAAGGAGAGTTGAACATAATGAAAAGAGCAAACTCTCGTTAATCATTTTCTGTCTTCATTAGAACTCCCATCTTATGTCACCTAAGGTTTCTTTATTACATCCTTGGACCACATGTCGAATCCACTATAGATCAAAGTGGTGTGCTGACAACACCATCTTTGCTTTGTTTGAATTTCTCGAGTGCTTCTTCTTCATGCTGTTGCCATGAGAATTGAAGATTCGTCAACTCAAACGTTGAAAATCATAGTGAAACCAACAGTCAGCTGATGTAGGCCAAGTTTGTTCCACTTCCAATGAATCTTATTCGGGAATCAAATTTAAAATTAAGTGTAGATTCACTCCTTTTTTCTCAAAGATACGAAATCGCGAGCTGTGTGATAACCATAGGAAAAGATGCTAAATTAAAACCAGCGAATTGTTTCATACTTTTGTTTTGTTTTTTCCTTTTATTTTTTTCTGTCATTCCTATTTCGCTAAAATAATGGCACCACAAAGAATATCTATTGATTGAGCCTAATTTCAAACCAAACCCATAGTCCAAACCCACCCATAGACTCAAAATTTGATACTAATTACAGTATTAATAACAATTTAAAATTTATTGGAGTTAAATTCAAAAAAAAATGAATGGATAATTAATTTTTTATTAATTCAGGGTGGGCTAAATTTGGGTTTGAAAATCATAATTCAAGCCCAGCCCAAAACAAGCGGAGCTTACGGGCTTGGATATACCCAACCCATGAACGTGGAAGACACAGTAGCATTAATTGCGGCTACAAACAATAAATAAATCTGGCAGAAGCAGAGAGTGACAGTTCAATTTGTTTGGCTTAACGCAGCTGCTGCAACTTGGAATCCTATGAGGAACAATCAAGAGAAGATTGCTTGGCAAAGACTTATTCAAAAGCATGCACTAAAGAAAGGATCAAAACTTGGTGTGTGACTGAAATTGTATATTTTCTTTGTAGCAATGCAGAGGAGACCGGAGATCATCTGTTTTTCTCTTGTTCCTTCAGCGAGCAGGTATAGGGGAAGCTAATTCAACTATGTGACTTGCCCAAGAGCACTGGTGATTGGCATACTGACTTTGCTTGGGCACAATACAGATTAAAGGAGAGAAGGCACTCATTTCAGCCTTTCTAAGGCTTCTTTGGAGTACTCTCATTTTCAAAATTTGGATGGAGCGTAATGATAGGCTATATAGGAGAAGGTAGAGAACATCAGATGAGATTACCAACAGCATCAGGGAGGCTGTTAACCTAAGACCGGCTAGCAGCACCACAATTGCCAGTGATCCAGTTAACAGAAAACTTTAGACAGCTTGGGGACTAAGTAAAAACATTTACTCTGTAATTGCTTACTTTGCTGATGTTACAATTCTTCTTAATATGCTATAAGGATAGCTGTTGAATTTGTAACAGGTTCTCTCACTTGGTTTTATTGGGTAATAAAAAATCAATTATCAAAGAAGAAGAAAATGATATTTCATTTTAACGCGATTGATTTAATTACTCAGCAGATTGGAAAACATGAAAGAGCAGAAAATTCAATAATTTTATTATCTAATAAAAGGGTCATATTTTTATTTTGAGACATATCATAACATGAAATCTGTGTTTAAATGTTTAATTTAAAGTGCAAAAACACCAATAAAAGAAAGAATAAAAATGGAACCTCAATCAAGCAGATTGAGTAGTTGGCAAATGAATCGCCCTAGTGCATTGTGGGTTGGATGTAGGAACTATCTGAAATTTTTACTTTTATACGCCAAACGAGTCTTATTGCAAATCGATTCGAGCCCATCTTCAGCTCTCCTCTTTCTGCATTTGGGTTGGTAAACCAAAGCTTGGGAAGAAACGAGATTCGTTGCATTCGATTGAGCCAGAGTAGAATAGATTTCTGGAAGAATGAGATTGGTAATGTCTTCAAGGGGCTTCCTTTTTCTTCCTTTTTGATTGATAGGGGATGAAGATTTTTTGAGAACTGATGGGAGCTGTTTTGAAGAGAAAGGAGGGATGTTCTCCTTCTTGTCATTTTCACAAAGGGAGAGAACAGCCATTTGGTTTAGAGTGAGAGAGAGGGAAGAGGAGGAGGAGGAAAGAAAGGATGGGAGGCAGTGGTGAAATGGTGGAGGGGAAGAAGGGATGTAAGTAGTGGTGGGTTTTGGAGGGTAGGAAGTGAAAGATTTCAATTCAAGTTGTTTTCGGATGTCCACAATTTTATTTTTTTTTAGTTTTGGTTTCATGGAGGGAACTTTGGAGGGGAGAAAAGATTGGCTCAGTTTGGTGTGATTTGGGATTAATTTTTTAATTTTCTGTCTATGGAGGGAGGCTGGAGGCGGAAACATTTTTTGTTCTTCTTTTTGACGTTTGAATGAATCGTCGAGGTTAAAGTTGCCCGGATCTCAGAAAAGGCGCGCAGTTTTTTTTTTTCCTGTATAAATTGGGGCAGGAGGAGGGAGAGCTAAAATTTTACTTTTACGACTCTGCTGGACTGGACCGGACCCTATTATTCCAATTCCTTGGGCTATCATTTGAAATTCAAGCCCCTGGCTTTTTGGACTTCTGCAGTGTTTTAGGCCTGTGGGGTCTTGATGTCTACTAATGAATTTTGAATTGAAAAAGAATTTCAAATGTAATTTTAAGCATACAAAACAGTAGAATTAACTGCAAAACAATAAAAATCTATTTTAGGAAATTTTTTAAATTTTTACTAATAATTCTTAAATCCAGGTCCCACCTTTTTTTTTTCCCGGATCAGATTGCAGCTCTAGCGCTGAGTTCCCAAGGAGAACCATTATATGAAGTTCAAGAAAGAATAGCAACACTAGTACGTGATTAAGAGAGCAAACATACTTAGGGTTCTACCTTAAATATACAACAATCAATCAAAATGATGAGACATTGTAAATCATATTCAACCATCCAGAGGATATAAGGACGTCTCTAAGTACCAACAGTATATTGAACCATAAAAGACTTGGTTCAAGTACTAGTTTCAATGAGTCATGGGATTAAGCAGAACTAAGCAATTAGATAAATGCAGGTGGAAAGCTGGAAACGACAATCGTATTCAATCAACATAAATTGTAAAGTTTCTACCCATGCTGATTAACTCAAAGAACAGCCACCCGTTCCTGAGATTCGCATGGGACAAGACCTTATCAACTAAGAGGGGGAAGAAGTTTGCAATGCATTTGTTTGTGTGTGTGTGTGTGTGTGTGTGAGAGAGAGAGAGAGAGAGAGAGAGAGAGGGAAACCTTATATTACATGTAACCGCCGTTCTTGCCTTTTGATCATGTTGGCATGTCCTTGCATATCAACAGCTCAGCAAATTTCTGAACCATATTAATGTTTTTGATCGTGAAGGAATGTGCAACTTTATTTTATAGCAACGCAAGTTATCAGAGAAAATCTTATGATAGCAAATACAAATGGAAAGGATATCTTCTCTTCAAAGATGGGATGGTTAAGCATCAGTAAACTGTTGTTGTTCACAATAGCTCTAACAAATAGTTCTTTGGCTTCCTCATGTTTCTTTTTCAGCATGTTGCATATCTGCAAATGAAAACAGAACATTTATCGAATATCCAATATCCTCTGGCGAAAAGTGGTTTTCCATATCTTAAATAGATTATAAATTAATTTAAATTCACTCAAACTGCATAAATACTACTGATTGATTCTTGAAGTGAAAAGAGATCAGCGACATAAACTGAACTTAAAAGCATAGTACTTTCTTAGATGTTTTTTTTTGCTCAATAGTACTTTCTTAGGTGTGTGTTACTTACATCTTCAAGCGCCTTTCCATAAGCTTCAGCCTTTTCCACATTCCCATCATTTTCCAGTTCTGTCATATTTACCCCCTGAGGAACTTCGAATCCAGAGGTCAGATGGTCACAGGGAATATCCTTGGTCGAAACCTCCATGTGATTTTTATGATTTTGAACCTAGCATAAACGTATGAAGTGACTAAAGTCAGAGTTTACCAAATATTTGAACCATGTATGAGTTTGGTTGATAAGATACCTCCACATCAGCAACTCTTTCAGAAGTTTCTTTGATATTTCTGCAGTTTTTATTAACATGTTATTCTAGTGAAGCTGCCTGTAAATTTGGTTACCATGTGTGTAGAGTTCGAAAGTAAATAAGACCTGCTTTCACTCGGAGATGGCAAAAGCCTTTTGAGGCGTTTCATCGACGTTAAGTCTCCATGTGATTCCTATGGAATAGCTTTGAACAAATATTAGTGGCACTTCATATAAATGTCAAGAACACAGACTCTGCATCTTCTTGAAAACAATACTTTTTGCAATAACGGTGTATTTGCATTTTTTAATGAAAAAGATAACTGCACTTGGAAAGCAGCAACTCATATCCAGAAAAGAAAAGAGGACCTGATATGTTTTCCGCTTCAAGGATGGGAGCTTTGGTGTTTCTTTCTCAGCATTTCCAGCAGGAAGGACAACCTTAGATTTATTTCTTGGTGTATCCACGTTTTTCTCCAAGTTTCTCAATGAATTTGTTTGTCTCTGACAATTTAGTTGATCTTTCTTTGTTTCTAGAGTCCTACATCAAGGAAGGGACAGGCTTTATTACAAATTTTAACAGAACAATCCCTCATTTAAAGACCTTAAAGAACATTGAGGTGATACATCAGCATCATACCTTGTACTTTTGAAGCTTGAGAGAGCAGGTACTTTCTTGGCTATTTTAGGTGCTTCAGAAAGAAGTTTCGGGCTCTGAATGGATTCTATTTTTGCAACCTGAGGTTTGAGATTCACAGATTTCTGGAGACCAGATTCAGTCGTCTTCTCAGCGTAGTTAAAAGAATTAGCTTGCAAACTGCAAGGAGTCCACACAAGCTTGCAAAACTTATTCAACAATTTGCTAAAGGTTTCAAAGGAAATACATGGAAATTTAAGTAATGAAAAGATGATAGCTACTAAGTAATACATTAAGTTTTAACATGTCAAATAGAAGATGAAGATTAAAATACAAAAAATTCACAATTATGCAAAAAAAGAAAAAGAATCACAAAGATAAAGCAAGAATCAGCAAAAATGCATAGAACTTGTAAGAAATGGAGCAACATATATAGAAGAAAATGTTTCCAAAAGAGGAAAAAATCAATAACTAATTAGTTATTATTAAGAGAGTACTTTTAATATTAAAATTTATAAATTAAAGCGCATCTGAGAACTTTTAGTAGTCAAAATTATAAAGAGAGTTGTCCAAGATAATTTATGGATAAATGGAACTAATGGCCTAGTGACGAAGATTTTTTACCTTGTGAGAACATGTTGACCTTTCACGTACAGACTAATGAAACTTTGACCTAGAACCAGAGTTACATGACAGGTTCGATTCTTAATTTGCTTATTCTAAAAATTGCATGAAAGAATCATGTTTCTGGAGTAAGATTGACAGAAATATATAAATATAAGCTCAAATATGGAAGCGATACCTAGCATTCTTTTCACTTCTTAAAAGGACAGTCACTCCTTTTGTTGCAGCTTTATCTTGCACACTTGATTTACAGACTAATTTGCTCCCACCATTTTGTACAACGTCAGCATTGACACCATCCCTATTGAATATTGCATAGATAATATCATATAATAAGTGAAAATGATACATATTAATTGTTTCTAAAGTTAAAAGTTCTAACCACATCTCCAAAGGGACGACCAAATTTCAAACACTGTTACAAAAAATTACTAAGGTTGTTGCCTCACCCGATGTCACTAGAACTTCCAACATTGTTTTCAGTTTGCAGCAAAACAGGCCTCCCTTCGGTCAATTCTTGGGAACTTAATTCTGAATAACCAACCAGTTTTCTTCCATTTTGTTCTTCGCTACCGTTAAAATCTTCCCTGTCAAAGATGAAAAGACTCTATCTATCTTGCAACAACACTAATTACAGTTGTTAGAGAAAGTATCGCACACCTTTTCTCTTTCGCGGGAAATGAGTACATGTCACCAATCTTTTTGCTGCTAAATGAGGAAACCTCTTTTCCTGTTGGTGATGGCTGATGCAATTGAAATTTGGTTTCCTCTGATCTTCTGAAAAATCTAGAGCGAATAGCCCCACCTTCTTTGTCTTTTCTTGCTGTCGCTTCACTGGCTGTTGGTTCACTGCATCTAGTTCATCAAAGTTAGCATAAATATTAAAATCGGGTATAATTCTTAGAATCAAAGCTAATAGTAACATGTTAGCATAAAACAGCAAGCGCTTTCTTGATCAGTGTAGTATAAGCAGTTGCAGTGGCAGATGGAGTTATATTTCTTTCTTCTCTTCAATCCTTTAACCAATAATCTCATAGTCAACTATTTCTCTGATTGACATAGTTCATCTCGAAAATCACTGATATGGAACATTTCAATTAATTAAACAAGGATGGCACGTTGCCAAAATACTGGTAGACTATCTGACCTGCCCGATGAAACTAAAGGAAGTTCGGGAGTGGGATTCTGGGTATCCTTCATGCCTCCAGTGTTGTCTAATATTTCTGTTGATAAGCTTGCAGTGGAAATATCTTTCAGAAGTATATCACCCTGCATTGATTGGCTGTCAACTATTTCTGCTGGGATATTGCCACTTGCCCCTTTTTTGTCATCTCTATCACTCTCTGATAGCGGAAATGTGTTCTTCTGGTGCAATTTTTGGTGTTTAGACCCCTCATTGGTTATCACTGTGTCATTAGCATTTTGATCTGCAGCCGAACTGGCATTTATTATTCTTCCCTGAGAACAAACTTCTGCATGCATGTTGGAAACAGGTTCTTGGTTTGAATTGTTCCCACTGAGGGAATCCATGGGTGAACTCTGTAAGGATTGCTGATCGTAGAGTTCCAAGGAAACTGCACTGTCTGACAAGGTACTTGATTTATATGTTTCTTTGGCATTCGTATCCACTGTTTTCTCTGGAGAAATTCTTGTTCCTTCTGCTGCAACCATATTTCCAGGTGCAAGCCCCTCTATAGAAACTGCTTTTGAAGGACAAGGGTCATCTATGGAATTGCAAGCCTCTGCCCCACCTTTGGGTGTCTCAGCCTTTAAATTGGGCGCATCCTTTGATACTGGAAGTTTTGCAGTAATACAATCATCCTCAAGTGCCTGGTCAATATTAGAAACTTCACTACTCTCCAAAGCAACTGCTTTGCTGTCCTGGCTTTTCTTACGAGTCTTCTCTCCTTTTGTTAGGCTTGAATCAAAATCAAAACCATCCAACCTGCAGCCAATAAGATATGCAGTCTAAGAAAATAAAAGATTCGAATGCGAAGTTGACTTGCATGGCTGGTAAAGGATTTTACAGCAAAAGCTAAAACAATTTGATGATTCAAACATAAAAGATAATCCACTCACTCATTAAAATCAAAAGAGAAGGTAAAGTGATTTTTTTTCTCTTGTTGCTTTTCACTTGTAGTTTCCTCTTTAGATTTTTCCTTAGCGTTTGCATTTTCTTTTGAGGGTGATGAGAAGTCAAGATCGGGCATGTCCATTTTGAATGATGATAACTTGTCAAAATCACCATCCAGATTAAAATCCATGTCCCTGATAAAGAAAAATTTTCTTTGTTAAGTGTTTAATTAGCAGTGGATGGTTCATACATACCTCAGTTATTTATTCTACTCCGAGAAACACTGCACAAAGCACAGTGACGACATCTATACTGAAGAAGGCATGGTGTGAACAATATACCCAACACAGACAAGGTGAAGTCATAAGAAAAAAGAAAGGCAATATAATAGTACACGATTTCAACGCATGATATGCAGAATAGACTAACGGAGAGAGATCAAAGCAGCTAGGTGCTGAGTGATATAATGAGACCCTCATTTTACACTAATAAACGAAAAGGTCCAAGAATTTGCAGCACTTACAGCTTGTCAAAGTTGAATGCCTTTTTCTTTCCCTTTGAGATTGTCTCAAAACTAAAATCCATAGCATCATCTTGTGTCACCGACATAGATTTCCAGGAGCTAAGGAAATCCTTTCCAATTTCCTTATCTGTTTTAAGTAGAATGTAGGATCTCAGCACATAATTCATTTCAATTTAAACAGCTGACACTAGAAATTGCATCTTCTTTAGACTTTCGAATTGATTGACAAATCATTTCTAGTCTTGGTAACACCTATGGAATTCCAGAGTAATCAATCACAAAAATTTAAGGGTCAGTGAACCCCAAAATGAAATTACAGGATGCTGATATTGTTTTTAACAGTGTCTTCATTAAGGAATCGCTGTAATTAGCCATAGCTGCTCATGATTCTCCACTATAGAACCACAAGCTTTTCTAACTAGAACTTTCTAGCACAATCACTAATATCAAAACATTGCCAATTAGTTAGAAATGGAATGTAAAATTAAAAGATAACCCTGCACCGTAATGTTTTCCTGCTTCTATTATCTCCAGGACAAGGATAGTGAAAATTCATTAAATAGAATTTCTTTATGCATGCTATGCAGCCACAGGAATACCTAGCAAGGATCCTTTCTCCTTTGATTTTGAACCAACGGCTGAAGAAGTTTCCTTCTGTGGCTCTGCCATCTGCAAGCAACATAAATAAAACTTATTCTCAACTGAAGCCATCCAAAAGACTGTCAAAATGAATTGTTATAGGGAAGAAAGAAAACAGAATGGTCCTGCAGCAACGTATTGAAGATTCAAGGACCCAAACGATGGTGTGAAGTGTCAACATAATGAGAAAAGAAGTGACAAGTGAACAAGTTTCTCCAGATGCCTGTGGGGAGTAATATTTCAGTTGCTGTACAGGTAAGTATTGTACCAATAAGATAAAAACATTTAGAAGCATGAACCAAATCTACCAAATTTGAATCATGTGATGTTGCTCATCTGATTACTATTCAACTAATCTAGATGGTGATATGTAGAATGTAGTGGTTATGGAGTAATGGACTACCATGAGCCGCCTTTGCTCATTCATATCAGATAGAGTATTTCATAATTCATAATAAAGAAGGTATATAAAACTTCAACATGCGCCCTTTCAAAATCAAATTGAATATGAAATCCATCATCAACAAGATCCAATGAATGTCATCAAGGAAATGTGTATCGAACATATGTATCTCTTCCATACATGTAACCAGTAAAACATCAAGGATCAAACTCAAAAACAAGACGATTATCAGCTCAAGATAACTAATATGATCACCAATAATTTCTAGGTCAAATTAGTACCATTGAAATCCACGCAAGGAGTGATACATAAAAACTGAAAGTACATTCACTGAAAAGCAAATACAGAGAAAATGAACACCAAATAAATCGTGTGGTCATTACAGAGAGATAAAGATAAAATCAAACTGATCCAATGGCTGAAAACAGTTTCAAATTCAAAAACAGGAAGTTAATTCACCAAAAAAAAATTAATTACCAAAAACGATCGGATATACAAAACAAAAAATTCCGAAGTCAATTCATATTGATTTTTAGATACAATTGAAAATGCGCAATATATCAATTTAATAAGTTAAAATCCTAGATGTTTCAATAAAGGTTAAAAGAAAAAAACAGAGCTGAAGTAGATATATATTACTCGATATCTTAGATTTTATATAGTTTAGGACTTGCATAAGAGGAAGAGAAATAGAGGAGACTTGCCTGGTTAAGCTTGGTGAGAGAAATGAGAAACGAGGCTGTTTGGCTGGAAAGAAAACTGGCGAACGAAATCTTTCAGGAGGAGAAGAAAATGTTAGTTTTTGGAGAACGGAATTTCTATTCAAACGTGCTTAGTATTTATAGATCTGACAATTGAAAGAAGCGGGAGCAACTGCGAGCGATTTAAGTTACCGCTTCGTCTGATTAGCAAGTGCCTAATTACGTGGGCTAAAGCCCGTTTCCTAAATTAAGTTGGACCGTTTGTACATATTTTCATTTGGATCAGCGTTCCTGGCCCATTTTCATTGATAGTGTAGGGCCAGCAATAGGGGAATCTCAGCACAGAAATTATAGAGTAGGTGAGGATTGCGGGGTTTGGTAGGTAGGGATGGTCCGTGCCTGCGTTGTCTTTTTAATTATTTTTCGTTTTTTCTTCGAATCGAAGGTAATGCAAAAGAAAAAAAGATTGAAATCAATTACTTTTGGATATGTCATTCATAATTTAAACATAATCATAAAAAATATTAACAAATAATTAAATATGTTATTATATATTCTTAAGAATAAGTTCAATATGCTATTGTTTATCAATTTAAGCCTTACAAGAAGAGAAGTTCAATGTACAAACTCTTTGCAACATGTACCCATACAGGGTGTGACTTTTTAACCAAAATTTTGAAGATTCCTATTCAAAACATAGCCTGATAGTATCCATATTCAAATTGCTACCCACTTTACCACTTGGGAGTCGAAACCAAAATTATAATGCAGGATTCCGGAGACTTGACAATTTCACTCAATTTCACCACACTACACCAACCATTCCCCAATGTTTCAGCTAATGACAAATGTCTGATTGATGAAACAAATTTAAGAAATGTATTCTCAATTACCCGCACGCCAGGAGCCAAAGTCAATATTCAAAGTGGAACGGCATGAACAAGCAGTAGTTGAGGGCGGGGACTTGAGCCCGAGGCATAGCCATTGTCCACGTTTTAGCCTCCAACTTCATTAGTCAACACCAACCATTTGACGAATGCTTTCTTTTTAAACACCACAGCCAACACCAACCCTGGAACTCCCTTTGCCCTCTCCCTAACCAAAAAGAAGAAAAAAAAATGAAGGTTCAAGTCACAGAAACCGCTCTAATCCGCCCTTCCACTGCACCTTTCCCCGATGACCACACCCTCGCTCTCTCGCACCTAGACAATGACCACAGCCTCAACGTCACCTTCCGTTACCTGCGTGCTTACGTCAATAGAACCACCACTGATCGCAACCCTTTCCAGGTCATCTCCTCAGCCATCGCCACTGCGCTCCACCACTACTACCCTCTGGCGGGCTCTCTCCGCCGTGCCAGCGATGGTCGGTATGAGCTTTTATGTCAGGTGGACCAAAGCGTACCACTAGTCAATGCCAGCGCGGACTGCACATTAGAGTCAGTAAATTACCTTGATGACCCCGATATGAATTCAGTTGAACAGTTAGTTCCGGATCCGAGCCCGGAAGAAACGCTGCTCAACCCCTGTACTTTACAAGTGACGGTGTTCAAATGTGGTGGGTTCACTCTAGGGGCAGCTATTCATAATGCTTTGTGTGACGGGCTTGGTGCAACCCAGTTTTTTTGTATGGCGGCTGATTTGGCACGTGGAGTGGACCAGATAAAATTTCAGCCTGTCTGGGACAGAGCTGCTCTTTTGGGTCCAAGAAACCCGCCAAGAGCTGAAGGTCCAGTTCGGGAGTTTTTGGGCTTGGAGAAGGGGTTCATTCCGTACAAACAGGACGTTGGACTTGTTGTGAGGGAGTGTTTTTACGTGGAGGATGAATGCTTGGACCAACTCAAGTCCTTGCTCTTTGAACAGTGTGGTCTGGGTTTAACCACGTTTGAAATCTTGGGTGCATATATTTGGCGGGCCAAGTAAGTTAAAAATGTTTGGTGATTTTCTGCAGGGCGTAGCTAAGTTACTTGCTATATATAGTTACTCTAATTTGATTTGATACATGATAGTGCTCAAATTCGGAGTTGAATTATGATATGATGATGATGATGATTTAATCAAGTCCAATTTGAGTAACTCCATCACATACTTGTTTGATTTCAATTTTGTGATGAAGTCATGTTTGTATGGTGTAGATTGTAGACTAAAATTTATGACCGGTGATTTTCATTGTTAATTTAAACAGGGTGAAAGCCTCAAAGATTCCAGGTGATGAGATAGTGAAGTATTCATATTTAATGAACATCCGCAAAATAGTAAAGCCACCACTGCCCCCTGGCTACTGGGGCAATGGCTGCGTTGCAATGTACGCAAAGGTCAGCGCCAAGGATCTGATAGAGCAGCCTCTTTGGAAAACGGCAGAGCTGATTAAGAAGAGCAAAAGCAATGCCAGTGATGAATACGTGCGTTCTTTCATTGACTTACAAGAGCTGCACTATGAAGAAGGCATCACAGCTGGAAAAGGAGTCAGTGGATTCACAGATTGGAGACACTTGGGCCACTCGGCAGTAGATTTTGGTTGGGGAGGTCCTGTAACTGTGCTGCCGCTTTCAACCAATTTCCTCGGGAGTATGGAGCCTTGCTTTTTCCTGCCTTATTCTTCATCGAGTACGGGCCGGAATAAAGGGTTTAAAGTCCTGGTGAGCTTGCGTGAGACTGCCATGCCTGCCTTCAAGGAAGAGATGGCGAAATTTAGTAGGAAAGAATTTGAAATTTGAGCTGTGTCCTGATAGCTGCAATGTCGTCTCGTTGCTTGCTGGATTCTGAATGTAATTTATATCTGACGCTTGGCAGAATTGACACCAGAGCTTTGTCTTGCTTCTTTTTGTGGTCAACTTGGCTAATAAATCCATTTTTCTTTTGCCTCTGCAAGTCTGTATTCAATGTGGCTTTAATATTTCCTTACCACAAACTAGACATTTGGGTTTTGAATGGATCGTATCAGGACGAAGGTAAGATGCCTATTTTTGGGTAATTTGATTAATTGTACGAAAAGGAGGTAAAGTGATAAAGGGTATTATTAAAGAAAGGATCACCACGGCTTCCCTGTCTCTGAAGGCAATTCCAGACCACGTTTTTTGCAGTAAAAAAGAAAAAGTAGAAAATGTGAGATGTATATATAACAGTTCTAAAGATTTTTTTGGAGAAAAATACTTAAGTATATAATAAACCTGAGATTAAACTAGCAAACCCTATAATTCTCAAAAGCTTTGTTTTATTTGGTTAGTTGTAACATACTGAATAAAAACAAAGAATTATTTCCTATATTTATTAAAATTAAAAAAATAATTTTATAAATGACGTTATGACGAGATGACAAAAGCAAAGGCGAAGGAAGAATGAAATCTATCTTCTTATCCGCAACCTAACAAACCAATAAGAAGCCATGTCAAGCTGACAGAGTCAAGCAATCACATAAAACTGTTACACAGACGGACGCCACTCACTCTAAAAAGCGAGAGGGAAAAAGCAAAGACAGTTGGGTCATGGCGTCTGTATTAGGAACATCCTCAACTGCAATCTTAGCTTCTCGGTCTCTCGTTTCTCCTTCCTCGAAGCCTACCATTCCCTCTATCTCCATTAACCCAGGTACATTTCTCTGTCGAACTAACTTGGCTATGCACTTCACTTTTATCTTTTCCACAACCCAGTTCTGATAGTATGAAACCGATTAATATAAGGGGTAGGCTTTGGGTATATTTTTTTTTGTGGGCTCAGATTTGACACTTTTTGTGGTTGTACAGGGCAGAGTAATGGGAGAAATTTTTATGGAGGGTTTGGGGTTCAGGGAAGGAAGGGAAGGCCTCAATTTCATGTTGCAGTAACTAATGTTGCCACTGACATTAACTCTGTTGAAAAGGTATTTAATTAACTTTGTTCTCTTCTTTTAATTCATGCTTTTTTGAGATCAAACATCCATTTTGGTTGTTTAGAATCGTTAGTTATAAAAATGGCACCTTTGGAGAGTACCTGTGTTGTTTATCTGAAGAATTTTTTTTAATTTTTGTTTATTACTGATTGTCCTGTGTATTTGAAGAAAACATTGTTGGGCAGGAGGATATAGAGTTGCATAGAAGAAATCTAAATATTAGCTTTTAAAACTTTTGTGAATGAAGATAGTGAACTTAATGATTTTCAGGCACAGAAGCTTGATGTTGAAGAAAGCCAGAGACCAGTTTATCCATTTGCTGCTATAGTAGGACAGGATGAGATGAAATTGTGTCTTCTGTTGAATGTGATTGATCCCAAGATTGGAGGTGTCATGATCATGGGTGATAGGGGAACTGGGAAATCCACAGCTGTTAGGTCCCTGGTTGATTTACTGCCTGAAATCAGAGTAGTTTTTGGGGACCCTTATAACTCAGACCCAGAAGATCCAGAATCAATGGGTGTAGAAGTCAGAGAGAAGGTTACAAAAGGAGAGGAACTGACTATTATGATGACTAAAATCAACATGGTCGATCTGCCGTTAGGTGCTACTGAAGATAGGGTCTGTGGAACCATTGACATTGAGAAAGCACTCACTGAGGGTGTCAAGGCATTTGAGCCTGGGCTTCTTGCTAAAGCTAATCGAGGGATTCTTTACGTGGATGAAGTTAATCTTTTAGATGACCACTTGGTGGATGTTCTTTTGGATTCTGCTGCTTCAGGATGGAATACAGTTGAGAGAGAAGGTATTTCCATCTCACATCCTGCACGGTTTATTCTGATTGGCTCAGGCAATCCAGAAGAAGGGGAGCTTAGACCACAGCTTCTTGATCGATTTGGAATGCATGCTCAAGTGGGGACTGTAAGAGATGCCGAGCTTAGAGTGAAGATTGTGGAGGAGAGAGCTAGGTTTGACAAAAACCCTAAAGAATTCCGCGATTCTTACAAGGCGGAGCAAGAGAAGCTCCAACAGCAGATTGCCTCAGCTAGGAGTTCTCTTTCTTCTGTTCAGATAGATCATGATCTAAAAGTGAAAATATCCAAGGTTTGTGCTGAGTTGAATGTTGATGGATTGAGAGGAGATATCGTGACTAATAGAGCTGCAAAAGCTCTTGCTGCTCTAAAGGGAAGAGATAAAGTGACTGCAGAAGATATTGCCACTGTCATCCCCAACTGCTTGAGACATCGTCTTCGGAAGGATCCTTTGGAGTCGATTGACTCTGGTTTACTTGTCATTGAGAAATTCTATGAGGTTTTTAGCTGAGAGATGCATGTCTTTTCTTTTAATGTATTTCAGCTGCTTCCAAATTGTTTCCTTAGTTTTGTTCATTGATTTTGCTAGCCTCTCTTTCATAGAATCAAATATTGTGGGACATTTAAACCAAAGTAGATTCTTGGTCTATCATGTGAAGGAAGAGTAAAAAGAAGGGAAGAGTGCTGTGAATGAGTACTCTGTTTAGAATTTCTGCTGGACTGTAACTTTTGAAGATGCTATGATGCATAGTTGATTATATGCTCTATGTTCTCAGAGTTAATAGTTTAATTTCTAACCCCTTTGGTTTGAGTTTCTTCCGTTCTTTCCTTCTTTAAACCCATTATCTGTTATTGTTATTTGTCCTGCCATCAACGGCCGATTGGTGGTTTTTTACTGCGTTGAATTCAATTCTATTATCGGCAGTAATAAAAAATGGCTTGCCAGATCACATTGATGTCTTGATCATCCCTTTAGATCTAATGCTAGAACTTCAACTCAAAACCAAGCCCTCAGCATACAGTATATGAGCAGCATGAACTCATTGTCAAACTTAGCGCCACTTGCATATGCAAAAATATACAAATTCCATCAAGACCTGAGGATCTTGAAAAAAATTCTTATGCGTGACAAATTGGTGGCACTGGAATTGCTTCATGACATGGGACTTCATTGCTTTTAACATATAATTATAAAACATTCCAGGCAAATGCTTTTCACCCGAAAATACACTTGTTCATATCCTGTTCATATGATTCAATCTTCAATGATGAGTTTATAAAAGAGGCATGTAGGAAAGTTTTCCTACAGAGATGGTTATTTAAGAAACGATGAAAAATTCTATGAATTTCACAGCTCAGGGATGTCTGAACTAAAGGCCATATCCCAGAATTTCGGCCTGAGCTCTAGAAATGCAGGTGGCCGCTGGTAAACAATTGAGGCAACCTTGATCAAGATTCCAGCCGTTAATGCCCATATCACGTACCTTTTGTTTTCTGCTTCATAGTCAAAGTACTGGAGTAAATACTTTCCTCCCATCCATTCTCTCTCTTCTGCTCTCCGGTTTTCATCCTGTGTCCACAATAAGATAAACCAGGAAGGCAATGTAACAAGATTCTGTTTGTCAAACAACAATGAAGCCTACAAGCAAAATCAAAGTAGAATACGATACCTTGAGAAACATTTCTAAAGGAGCATCAAATATCGCTTCCACCTCATCTGCACTTGGAGCTGGACTGAATGCCTTTGCATCTGACAGTATAGCAACCACAGGGACGACTAACATGCGACTCTGTCAACAGAAACCAGCTCTAAATTAAAGTATGCAATTGCAGTACTTATCATTTCCATTTTTCAAGCAACCTAAAGATGTTGAAGGACCTCAAAGCTGCCAGAATGAGATTCCTAATAAAAGTAGTTGCAAAATCCAACATTTGATCCCCTCAAACTTCCTTGTATTACCAAAGAATATTTTGCAATGGCCATAGCCTATAGCACATCTGCAACATCAATCTGGCAATAGTATTTGAATGCAGTCTCATACACAATTACTATATGCATTTTGTACAGCTTTTATAAATATCGCAGTCAAAAATCGCTGATAAAAGGTGTAATGAGTTTAAGATCCCAGGTTTTACTTGCAACCACCACCCTTTTTCACCACAAATAGGATCCTTAAATCTAAATTCTAATTTGCACAATGGCATAGTGAAAGAACAGGTTAGCCTTGAACTTCTTCACATTTAGCTTACCAGATTTCCCAATTACTATCAGAAAATTTGATGGCATTAGAATTAATCATTAGATGAAGCAAATTAAATTCCTTGCAAAATTAGAGCTACACATAGAATTTTGAAAACCAGATGGCAGAATTCAAGATACAGGAATTAACCTTGGTAAAAATTGGTTCAAGAACAGCAACAACATTGACAAGCGAAGGGTCCAAGCCAATCTCTTCGTTTGCCTCCCTCAATGCAGTCTCTACGTCATCAGCATCAGTTTCCTCTCTTTTCCCTCCTGGCAATGCAACTTCTCCTAAAACCAAGCACACCCCAGTCACTCTTTTATAACACACCAAAAAAACATCGGCATCAATATTCACCATCACAACGTAAAGTCAACCGAAAAACATTGGGGAAGTACCGGAGTGAGAAGAGAGAGTCGATGAACGTTTGGTGAGTATCACACGAAGATCATCATTGTTTCCTTGGAAGATACAGACAAGAACGGCAGCTCTCTTGAGCTTTTCGGGCTGATAGTGATCTGTAATGCTGCGGACAGATTTTTCATCGGTATTTATTTGACGAGAAACCGATTCAGTTGCAATTTCTGGGATTCGACGAGGAGGAGGTTTATAAAGGCGAAGCCGCTGACCTAAGGTTTCGAGTACATCAGATCCAAATCCGGGATTGTTGTAGGAACCCATCAGCTTTTGAGTTTGAGATTTTTTTCCCTCTTTCCTCGACTGTTGGTATGGCTTTGTTTGGTTTCTCCTTTATGCTTTTTACAGTTGCCTTGAATGACCGTAATTATGAAGGTAATTAAAATCCAATAACGAACCACCTAATAAAGGTATTAACGCTCTATATCAACTGTGACGACTGTTTTATTATGAAAGCTGGTCATCATTTATTGCTAGTATCATAAGAAATTGGTGATGCTTTATTTGGATTGCTTTATTAGATATTGACTTAGAGAATTGCAAAAAAATAAAAGAAGCATGCAATTTGCTCACTTTCTTCCATCTCTCTTTCAATTCCTCCCCCATTTTCTTTCAGCAAAAAGTTTCACTGTTGCAAAAAGATATGGAAAGGACAGAAAAGGGTTAAACTGGCCTCAAGAATTTAAAAATGCCCCAATTGGAGTCATCTTCAATTAATTAAATTATTATTATGTAGATTTGAGGTACAAGCCAAACTTAAAATTCCTGGAACTATTCAACGCATAACAGTGTTATCGTCCACAACTCTAGGAAACTTGAACTTGGGATTCTGTTCCAGGAAAGCTGGTGGTCGCTGGTAGACCACTGAAGCAGCTCTTATCAAAATGCCAGCAGTTAAACCCCATATTAAGTACTTCTTATTCTCAATTTCATAGTCAAAGAAGTGAAGAAGATACTTCTCGCCCATCCATTCTCTCTCTTCCACGCTTCGGTTTTCATCCTGAACCAAACAATTCCATACTCAGATTTAAAAAGGGTTACACAATTTACAAGACTAGAAAGAGTCAAAGAGGAAAACCTTAATAAACATTTCCAGGGGAGCATCGAATACTGCATCCACTTCAGCAGGATTTGGAGTAGGCTTGAATGCCTTTTTGTCGTTAAGTATGCCAATAACAGGAACTACCCTAAGGAGATGCTGCACGGAATGCCAATAATTTGTAAATAACTGAAAGCCAAAGCAGAATACAATGTAAATTCAGCTACGCTATGCTCTTTATATGATTTTAGCCAAAAAGGTCAAGAAAGGTAGATCATGTATTTCTATAGCACTAGTAGTCAAACACAACTCTTCATTCCAACCTCCCTCATTTCATGCAGACTTGATGCCTGTCAGATCAGACTTAATAGATTATACTGACATTAATTTACAAACAAACATCACTTTATGTTCCAAACAAAATTTGTCTATGTAGTTATGCCACAGGGACAACTAAACAAGTTGGAACATATGCAACGTTTTAAGCTGAAACACAATCTCATGTAATAGCTCTCTTGCATCAACGACAAATATTACTCGTTGTGTCATTTATCTACAAAGCAAGTAACTACCATGATACACAAAGAGGCTAGTCCACATTAAGAAACGTATAAGTACAATCTTTTATTTTCAAAGTAAACCAAAGTGTCTATGCTCCAAGGACCGCTAAAGTCATTTCTCTGTCAAATGATTCACATAGAAAAATTCAAATTATTTTAAGATGTCTATCATTCAGAGAAAGAACCAACTGTCACACTCACACATGATAGTACCTTACATAACTTAGGTTGGAAGAGTTATTACTACCATTTGATAATGAAAAAAGCAATTAAATTACCCATGTGAGAAATCATGCTTTGATCAGGTAGGTAGCTCATATAAGTTAAATGACAGTTTCTTTCTTTTCCAGTGTACCAACTTTGTGTCTCTCTTCTAGATTTTCTGGAAATTTTATTGTCTTAGTACCAAGTATCCCCACATAAACACCTCTTTCCAGACATATCCACAAGTTTCACATTTTACAGATAGAGAAGGTGTGAGAAGGGCAACTTCTAAAACTTTACCCTCAGAGACAGAGCTATACTGATACGCGTTTATAATATCAAGTGCTTAGAAATGATAGATTTCTGAAAATTTTTCATTTGGATGAACAATTTTAGGTCAATAAAATTGCTGCAAACCTAATAGTCTATCTCACATTACAGAAAGTCTCTTTTTCTTTTATGCTAAGTTTGGAATGTTGGGTTTAAGACATAGACACCCACAACACCCTCTGGCCTCCGACAAGAACTTAAGTCTGAACTTCCTACAAAAATTACCATTTGAATATAACAGAAAAATGTCACAATCACCCCAATCAGAACTATTGAAATTAAACTAATGCCATATACCAGGTAGAAGAATGATTGGTGAAAATGCTAAAAAGAGCTTAGAAGAAATATTTCAATACCTTAGACAAAAATGGTTCAAGAACAGTTACAACATTTACAAGTGAAGGATCCAACCCAATCTCTTCTTTAGCCTCTCTAGTAGCTGTGTCACCATCATCTTTGTCCCCCTCCTCTGCTTTCCCACCTGGTAATGAAACTTCCCCTGCAACAAAGTACCAAAGACACACTAACTCAAACAATTAAGTCCCATAACAAAATCATCAGCACCATCAAGTCTCAATCAAGGAAACAATTTCATCCTGATTTCACTCCTTAATAACCTTGTTAGTTCCTAACACTAGAAAAGGGACATGTCTGCAGTGAGCCTCAAACATCCAGGAAACTCAATTGATGAGGTCAGGTATCTTTACAAGGACAACATTTCTGCTCTTCGGCTTGAATTTCTCACTCACCAAACAAAAGGTTAAAAAAAAAAAAATCAATCTACCTGAGTGACTAGACAATGCAGGAGTCGAAATCAACATTCGGTTCCCAACAAAGAAAAACATTAGTTAAACTCAATCTCAAAATCAGCATTCAAGTATATTTGAGTAAAATTCACCCTTCCCTTCCCAAGAAAATATAAAGTTTCATTCTTTTCCGTTTATTTTCCTCAAAATTTCCAATTCAACCAATCAAAAGCTCATATCAAATCCTCTATCCCAGGTGAGTAGACAATTCAAAGAAACAAAAAACAAAATTTCATTAACCAATAACTTTCCAATCTTTAACAAAACAAAAAAAAAATCAAACTGACCCGAATGAGTAGACAATCTTGAAGACCTCTTGGTCAATATGACACGTAAATCCCCAGCATCCCCTTCAAAGAGACAGATCAAAACAGCGGCTCTTTTAGGTCTAAACTTTTCCGGGTTTTTGGCAACTGGGGTAACAGATTCTTGGAAACCCACTTGGGAAACAACTTTCCCTGCGGCTTCCTCCATGATTTGTTCCTCGTTGTCGTCCAAGGAACAAGGTGGAGGCCTGTAATGACGCAGCTGCTGGGCTAACGCTAAGAGTCTCTGTGATGAATTCGAAAGTGATCCTCCATTCAAAGATGTTGATGAAGCCATGAGCTTGACAAATGGCGGAGACAATAAAGGTAGCCTTTTTAGATTTGAGAAGATCATGAATTCTGCATGGTACAAATTTGTTCAACAGGGAAAAGAAATTATTGCTATTTGTTTTTTGTTAAGAAGAAAAGCGATTATTGGAGTTTAGGCGGAAGATTTAATTATAAAAGTGAGGTAAAACACCCCACCGTAAGGTTTAATAGAAATTTAAAAAATTAAAATATTTTTATTAAGTTAAAAAATTATTATTACATATATATATATATATATATATATTGTGAAAAAGACCATTCGGTGCTCCCAGTCCCAGATGAAGAGTTTTTTTCTTTTTTAATTAATAAATAATTAATAAAATTATAGAATAATAATTTTAAAAATTAATCAAATAAAATTTTTTTTTTTTTTATTAAATTATCAAATTGATGAAAACACTAAGGATTTACATATTCAACGAAATTTTTTTTTGAGTGGAGTGTAAAATTAATAAATTCTCATAAAATTTTGATCAAAATTTAAAAATTAAAAATATTTTTTTAAAATTGTAATGACTTTAGTATTTTTTTAAATATTATTCGAAAGAAAATATATACTAATGACCCATAATAAAAGGAAAAACATTTGTTAAACATAAATATTATTCTTTTAATTTAATCATAAAAGAGAATTTAGTATACAAATTTTAAACAACTTAATGCATAGTGTCATTCCATGGTCCAAGCTACATACTATTATTCTATTTTTAATACAGGACACTATTATATGAATGACTATAGGGAATTAAAATCGTTTTGGGATTTTGTTTGTAATTTGTTGGTGATGACTTGCTACGATATTTCTCCTTGCTAGAAGGTAAAGGCCAATTCTTTATCGTTTTATTGTTTATAAAATATAGTGTAATTATAAAAAAAACAGTACCAAATTGTTTTCTAATAATCACATCTTCTTCCTTCCAAAAAACAAATAATAATAATTGAATTTGGATTTTTTTTTCTTGTGCTTTGTGTAGTATAAATCATCAACAAACAATATTGCTTGTATAATGTGAATCACGAAATAAGAAAATCGTAAAATCATAAAATTTCATATTATTTTTAATTTGTAAATTTTTTTTATGAAATAAAATCATAAAATTAATGAATCAAAATAGATAATATTTTATAAAGATTGACGTTGAAAACATATTCAAAGAGAAAAAATTGCTCAAACTAAATGAATGAACTTTTAACCTGTAACATGGTTTGCTCAAACTTCAACAAAACTAATCCTAATCCATTTCTGGTAGGTAACATCCAAAGTAGTCTTCACAATGAAAGGTGAGCCATACTCCATAAATGGCAACAAGGAGCTATCAATCCATATAGAAGTAGGCAGCTTCTCCGAATTCATAACACCGTGTTGGTGATTGGATAAGCAACAGAACTACCCCAAATAATTGAGAGGGCCTATACTACTTTTCCTGGTGATGACTGAAAGAGCCCCCATCTACTAGTTAGTCATAACTTCAGACGTTTGATTTCGTTAGCAAGGGCACTAACGAGAACAAGGGCTAACACCAAGGGGCCTCAAGGGAGCTGGTTGTCTATCAAGAATCAATTAATTACTCGGCCCTAAGCTGTCCATTACAGATAGTATCTTCAGGATAGAGCTGGAAAGTTGAATAGATCCCATTATAGCAGTAGTTCAACTAGAAGCAAAAGGTTTGGATGTTACTGGCCCCTCCTTGACAAAGCTACAAATAGAAATAACCTTTAAAAAAGCAGAACAACTTCAGCCACCTACTGCTCCCAGCACCTAACTTAAAGCCATTAGGATCTAATTTTTACACGCAATTCATGTCTGGATAGAATCATTAGCGTAATGGAAAACATGGGCAGAGAGTGGCTGTTGTCCGCATTCAATCCTCAGTCTTGATTTCAATAAGAGGGCGCAGGATAGCTGAAATTCTGAAAAAGTTCTTTTAAAAATGGAAGGAGAAAATAGTATCAGAATCACTCCGTTCATAAGAGTTAAAACAGAAGATAAATGAAAAGGAAAAACCAAAATAACATATAGAAAGAATCACCATTTCTGCCCCAAAACCAAGCCGTGCTGTGATTTCTGTTCTCACGCAAGGCCACTTCCTATACAACGAGCTAGAAACAAAACCATAGTACATAAATACATAATTTTCAACACCTAAATAGAAGAAAATAGGATGTGCTCACTTATAGCTGATGAGTTATCGGCAACACAAATTTTTTGAAAACCGAAAGGACACTCTTAACTATATCTTTGCCTTGCTACTAAGTAACTGTCTCTTCTTTTTTATTGTTTACTTCCTCAGCTTTAGAGCTTTCTCGATGTGCGGCGGGTTTCTCAGCACCAGGGTAAGACAACCTCCTAGGTTTCAAGGCTCCCTTCCCATTGGGGAAAGGAGGTTTAACTGATGCTGATGCTTTTGGTTTTGGCGAATTTGAGTTTTTACCAGCCTTGCTTATCTGTCTAGTCTGTGCTTTCTTAGGGGTAATGGACTGAATGGGGAGGCGGCTCTCCCATGGGCGAACAGCAATCCAGCGTTCCACCCAGCTCCAACCCCAATTAGCTTTGGCAAGCTCATAATTACCAAGCCCATTGTTGTTAGAGTTGGGGGCCCTCCACTGCAAATCACATATTACATGGTAATTGCTTATATAACTTTCACCAAAATAACAAAAATTATAGCTTCTGAGAATGGCATACCTGATGGGAAAAGGCATATGCCATAGTTCGCTCCCGCTTAACAGCTGCTTCTTCTCTCTGATGTATTTTTGCGAGAATTGTCTCCATTGTTTCAGGGCCACCAGACCATTCCACCTGTAATCCATTAAACTACTATTAAGTGCATGAGAGAGAGAGAGAGAGCTGAATAGTAGATTAAGAGGAAGTAGAAAATCAAAGATATCTGGGGCCTTTAAAAAGGAAGTAGGAGCACCTGGGATTATTTAATTTGACAATTCAAGCCAAAATTTTAGACACTTTGCCAATGAATAAAACATCAAACTTCTTAAACTATAAGTTCCTAATGACACTACAGATCAGTAGGAGCTATTCTAAGACAAGTCTAGAAGGATCAAGAGGTCTTTGGCCAGACTCAGTCTTCATCCAAGAATTCCACAAGCAGCTTGCAGAAACAGAACATAAAAGAATCCAGACATCACCTTGTATTACCAACTCCAAAGGACTGCTCATACCATTATAGACTCAGCAGCATCGTATGAGTTTGCAATATATATGAATTGCAGCCTCTATATTACGAGTTACTTTTAAAGCAAAATTAATATCAGGAAAGCTAATAAAAGACAAAATGGGCCCAAATGTGGACATGGAGCACAAGAACAAGATGGAAAATAATAATAAGCAACAACGCCTTTCAAAAAATGAAAAAAATAATAAGCAACAACTGAATAGGATTCCAAAAAATAGATTACTTGATCACTGCAGGCAGGATTCTAGGCCATCATAGCTCAAAACCTCAATAGTTCGTCTTCTGATCCATAAATATGGTGCTTAGTTGTGATTTAGAATAAGAAATTATAACAAGAGATTCATTCAGAAAATGGACAGGTGACCGGGGCTGAACAGAAACTACCATACATGATACGCTAGAATATGCATGATAGATAACCATTCCTACTGATATCCAGATGTCAAGCCTTCTCCCACTCAAATCCTGGCAAGCTCTTAAATTATACTGATGTTTAAATTTAAAACATGATCCCATGCAAAATAAGGTGATGCTAATTGTCCACAGTACTAAGACAGTTAAAATTGCAATCATAGATGAACTTGCACGTTTAAGATGAATAGCCTTAACAAAGCATGCTGTCAAGATCTTAGTTCATGCAGGTTCTCATGAGCCAGGGCTGTTGATCTAACCTCTATGTCATGTAGTTTTGCCTCAAGCTTCAGCTGATTTGCTATTTTCTTCTGTCTAAGACGCCCTTCTGTTACCATACAGAGTCGACGTGCCCTTATCTGAGCCTGTATGTTGCTCCATGAATGAAGATAATTTAATGTTGTTGTAGCTTGCTTTTCGATGGAATAAGTTTGGGTTTTAGCCTGTAATCTTACTGTACCTTTCAATCGACGTAAACTCTTCCTAGCCTGAATTATGAGAAAAGAAATTGTTAGATCATTGTACCAAAACTATGGTGAACATATATATAATAAATATAGGATACAGGCAAGTGGATTAAATGTGAAAGAGGGGAAACAAAGCCACACCTTGAGTATCAACATTTAACAGAATTCAGAAGCAGGGGAGATACTTAGAAACATGATCATGACATCAATTAATTATCAAATACCAGGTGCCTCTATTAGAAAGATTTGCACAAATGCACTTAAATGATTGCCATTGGTTCTTTTTCGAAAGACTAAGGAAGGTCACTTCACCAGTCATTCCAACTTGGTGATTCAATTAGCTGCAAGGGATGCAATAACACGTGGAATCCAGTTAAACGTGCTAGAGCTACAGCATTGAAATTCTAGACAGTTCTTTCACCAAAAGTAAATAAGGAAAATCAGGTTGAATCTGACAAGACATTATGGGGAAATGAAAACAGGGAGCAATAAGATTCTTGTTGGCATGATACTAAGACCAAATACCTCCAGTGTGCAAACCATCTTTTGTCAGGTACATGAACTCCAGTATGATGATAAACGAGGTCAAACAGGCATTTTTAATAGTATAATATGTTCATCTACAGAGGAATGCCAACTACCCACACTCATAAACAAAGCATTGACAATAATTGCACCTAAAGGACAGGAATTCTTTTCAGCAAAACCTTACATATCCAAGACACACCAACGTGCTATTCTTTAACAATGACAGGAAACAATTACAGCTGGAAGAGTTTGTTGATTGCTCTGAGAGGAACGTCAGTGAGGCACAACCACCAATGCTAGAAAAGGGATACATGCATACAGATGGGAAGATGGGCTATGTATTATGATGTTAATTTATAGAACTTGCAAATCAACATACCCTATAGGCCCGGAATGCAGTTTGAATCCGAATTGCTGCTAAATCCTCAATTGGCATGCCAAGAGTGTTCGAATTTCCACTAGTAAAACTTGTTTTAGTGGATGACTTTCGCTGGCGTTTCTTCCATTTGAAGCCATTGGATTTTGTAGAAGCTGAAGATCCCTGCGCCAAACAGATGAGACCAATACAAGGTCTAGGTAACCCCTAATAGATTAAATGAATGATAAAGTGCTTGCCACTTTTTCCTATCCAGCAAATGGCATTAGGAGGTAAAGTGACACTTATGGCTGAATATGAGCTTGGTGTTCATAAGAGATAAAAGTAATTAAAAGCTTCAAAAATATCTTTCCAATGGTAAGTAAGTTTAAACTTCCAAAAGGTTTGTATGAAGGATAACATTAACCCAAAAGATTCAAATTGCAAATTAATTATTTGAGAAGCAAACTCAGATTCATTTATAAACGAAAAACAGAGAGAGTCTTATGATTGTTAAGTAAAACCTTTTAGAAGCTGGTATACCTTCACTTGCTTTGGGCTGTCATTTTTCACTTTCTTTATTATTGTCTTCAACAAATTTCCAGAACCCATTGCCGATGGTAAGTATCTGTATCGAACTTAGCATCAACCTAACGGTATTTTCCAATGCAAATGTAATCAGAAACGACAGCAGACAGAAATGGGAACACAAATAATTCAGTTTAGTAGAAGAACATGCCATACGTTTTAAAGTTCAGATTTTCTATGCTATGAGCATGATTTGATTTGAAAGTTGAAACATTTATCAACGGAAAGTAACTAACAGTGCCTAAACTGAATCACCAAGCTTTTCACCAAATGGACAATTAGGGAACTATCAAAGTCAACCCACCTATCCACTAACAGAAACAAGACAGTATTGTGAGAAGTTGATAAATTCAACAGCAACAACATACACCCCATAGGATCATCAACCAAAGATTTGATTTTTAGAAGAAAAATTAGTTTCTAACTTTGACTCCATGCAAATTCACTTACTAACACCAATAACATCCAGAACCCAGATCCTAGGCATCCCCTCCCGACCATGGGTATGCCCAAAATGACATTTTATTGTCCCTTATGAAAGCAAACAAAACCAGAAACAATGAGAAACCAAACCGAAGGTATGGGTTACGAATGACATACCGGCAACGCTGTCCCAAAAAAGGAGATACTTTTGGAGGAAGGGGGGCACTGAAAGCAAAGATTTTGGGATGGCAAAAAAAGGGAAAGGTGGTGACAACAACGGTACGAGTTGCAGTAAAGAAGAAGGAAAGCCTGAAAATCAAAGCAAAGAATAATAAAAGGGTGGGTGTGGAATGTGGATTGCCATGGCCCATTACCAGCTTCACCTCTCTCTTTCTATATTTATTTGTCTCCTGTTTATTTTTTGTTTTGGTCTCCGAAAGAATAAAAAGCTGGTCTAACAGAAAAGAAAAAGCAAAATCATGGTATTAAAAATATAATTTTGATATCTCTCTCGTCAATCAAGGGCCTCAACAACTGATCTGAAGAGCTGGGGGACTTTGCATTAGTGGGTGTTGGTTGGTTTTATTTTTTAAGTTGGACTTTTTTTTTGCATTTTCGAAGAAAATTCAACACAGGGAAGATGGGCTAACAACAAAGACAGGACAACAAACAATGGCATGTTTTTGATGGCGACAGGCTGCCTATCTACGATTCATTAATTCCTCCCTCACTTTATTTCTGCAGATTTATTTGTATGGTAGATTATTTTGGAATGTGAATTTTAGAATTGTCTGATGGAATCAAGTGGTTATTATTCAACTGTTTTGGATTGGAAGATGGGAGCAAAATGTATGTTTTTCCGTGTCGTAGTTGTTTCGGTCCTGGATACTGGTGGCGGGTTGGGTAGTTTACATACAGCTGGCTCATTTGTGGAATCTTGACCGTTTGATTCTTGGGATTATGATCAGATTTTGAACCGGTAAACGTGGCTTAATTATGATCGGATTTGAATCCTTGATGGGAATAAAAAACAAGGATTACAGTGGTCCCGGCGAGGCTCGAACTCGCGACCTTCGGCTCATAAGACCAACGCTCTAACCAACTGAGCTACGGGACCAATTTCCTTTATAAAATAGGCTTATATTATTATAAAATTAAATCATTAAATTCGATTTT